TGTGACATAGTCTTCAGCCAAAANTTAAATAAATTGTGCGCACACACGTTTAACGCACTTGCATGGATGTTTTTTTTTTATTGCCACCAACGTGTGGTAGAATTCACACACGCTCGCGCCAATACGCTGAAGGTGGTATTCCCCCCCTTTCGCTTTCACTTACCACTCAAATGATGGGGGTATATATTCTCTGCTCGACAACGTCGGTGGCATCCAACAACATCGAAAAGTAGTGAGATAACTGTGACATAGTCTTCAGCCAAAGTATTTCGCAACTGTGCGGCTGCCGTAGTGTGAAATTATTTAAGTGTGTGGGATTGTGGCAATGCTAGATAGCTGAAGACAGTGAGTCTTAGATTTGTTGGTAGCTTGGTGCATCCAAGCTGGCTACGATGTGAGGCATAGAAATGGAGATGCATTGCAAAGGGAATTTGGTAAAGTTAGCTGGTTGCGAGTGTAAAATTAATTTCGCACTGATTGCTGGTTGCTGTAATCGGATTTGAATAACACATGCGCCATACACAGCTAATCGCACACTCAATTTCATTTGGAAAGTGTTAGCGCTTTGAAAGTGACTTTACACATACGACAGACGACACTATGCTGAGGTGTTAGATGAAGTGGTTAAGCGTAAGCAAGATGCAGTTTAAGCTACAACATTTGAGAATAGTTACGATACATGTATGTATATTTGCATTAAGCTGGCTTGTTTTACGTTTGCAAGTGGCAAGTGTTTTTACCACTTTAGTGAAGTGCTCACAGTTTTGCGTTCGTTTATGTGCAACGAATAACTTTTATAGAAATAATTTATTATTCCAAATAGGTTTTAAAAGTAGTTAGTTGCGGTTATCTATTCATTGCAGGTAACTTGTGCCTTAGCAGTTGAATAGTTGAAGGCCGCAAGTTAATTAAGATACCGAATATCAAAACCATAGCAGCAGAAACTAGTTCTCGTAAAAATCACTTCAAAAATTGCATAATAAAAATTGTTTGGTTCCAATTAACAAAGAGGACTAGGAACGTTCAGGCAAAAATAATAGGCTAACGTTAATTTTGGTCTGCTTCGTTTGGCAGTTCTACATTACCGATTTTGAAACTAAGAACATCTTTGCATTCCGTAGATGACGTATGGTTTCAAAATTGGTTTACACTTACAGCTGCAATCGTAGGGACAAAACTATCTTATTTATATGAAGGCGCATACAAATACGAATACCACTACAAGACGATTAAAGGCGAAGACAACACGACTGCGGAGATGAATACGAAGACAAATATGAACACGAATACAAAATCAGAGACTAAAACGAATACGAAAATGAATACGGGGATGAATACTAGGATGAATACGACGACGACATAGCCGAAGATTGATGCGAAGAAAAACATGACGACGTATACGAAGACAGCAACTAAAATGAAAACGAATACAACGACGAAGACGAATACTGAATATCTTCACGAAATAAAGTCGAATGCGAACTAGATGCTCCATAGGACGGAATTTGCCAATTCCAACAGTCAGTTCGCTGCCTTGAGCACAACAGTTTTTCGGTACCTATATAAGTTCATGCTTGTTCTATCTATTTCACTGTCTTTTGAGTAAAAAAGTTCTTCCTTTAAAAAAAATAATGACTTTAGCTATAGATCTAACAGGGGGCCCAACCCGACATTTTTTCTCTCGAAGACCCTGCATACAACCACCATTTAGCGAACATAAATGAAAAACTGGAGAATACACCAGAGGCGTTACATGTGACTTATGGGCCACATGATCTTTATTATGGCCGCGTTATTCTTCTGATGATTCACCGTTATTCTTCTTATGATCCAGCCGGGGGATAATGTTTTCATATAACACTCCTAGATCTAAACAAAAATTCATAACATGTATTTCAGTAGTAAAAAGGTATCATTCATATCGTAACCTTATTGGGAAAAGATGCTAACTTATTTTCTTTTCGTCTTTTACAAAAGTCTACCGATCTTTATAAAGGCCTAATGGAATTTGAAAACATTTAGAAATTTCCAAATTAAAATCTTTAGTTTTTACAGTTAAAGCTTCGTAAATACTCAGTAAAGGCACACAAATTTGTATAATGTAATTATGTATAATTACATTGTACGTTTGTGTGTATATGTCTGTATATACATTTGTGTTTTTTTTGTTGACTGACAAATCTTAAAAGTATCATTCTTACTAATTATTTTAATTTTGTAAGGGAATATGATTTTTGGTGTCCTTAAAGTTGAAGCACTTGAATTTTTTTTTTTTTTTTT